TCTAACACTAGTGAGTGAGATGCTTTCAGGGAACTTTACAATGCTGTATCCCCCTGGGATATAGCAGGGACAGCCTGTGCAGGATGAATCAATGCCATACGTCAAGTACTGTTTGTATATGTTTCAGAGTAACCAGGCAAAGTCTTTTAACTTTCCATCCTAGAGCCCGAGCAGTACTTTCCTGAATGTCAGCCAGGAAAATTTTGTAGATTTGGCAGTAGAACTGTGGGAAGCCTGGTTGAAGACCAGCCCAGAGTGCTGGAGCAGAGGCTTTATATAAAGAGAGAGAATCCAAACACCTTCCTTTGTTTCATGCTACAAACGAATACAAATGGAGTCCTGAGATTGCAATCAGGCTCCATTGTATAAGCACAGGCCTTTCCATTACTCCATTACAGCTTTTTGGCATGTAGAGCTTCATTATTTTTCAGCTGGAAAACTAATTAAATTAATTCTTTTTTATTTATCGGAGTGTTAATGCTTCAGTTCTCAAGTCTCCGCTGGCTTCCAGCCATTTAATTTTGGTCCCTAGGGCAAAGCCTGAAAAATTAAGATAAAGTCATTACTTAATGTTCCCCTTCTGAGAGAAAACAAGAAGTATTTCCTGTTCTTATTACTTGCACAAAGTCCATTTCCATGGTAGAATTTCAGCATGATCAGAGCTTTTGCACCCAACATCTCTCTCCTCCCGAGCTCCCCATTCAGCCGCAGTGGCTGAGGCAGGGAGTGCTGCCAGGCTTCAGCTGGGCTTTCCTCAACACCCTGGAAACCACAGGGTGAACAAAGGCTTTGCTCAGGTGCTTGCCCTTTGCCATTTGGAGCCACCCTCTCCAGTACCTCCAAAGTACTTCAGGAGTGCTGTGCTTTACCTCCAAGGAGAACCCAGCCCTGGGGATCCTGGCTGTGCCAAATGGGTTAGTCAGAGCTGTGGTATGGGCACTGCCCAGTTCAAGTGCATTCAAAGCAGCCAAAATCCGCCTTCTTTTATTTCCCCCCCCGTGTGTGTATCACAAAAGTTCATGCACTTTTCCAGCAGTGTGTTGACTTAACCGGGACCTGTCCTCCCCAGCTGCGGAGCCTGGTGCAACAGGTAACAAACAGCCCTTTCCCATGGCAACAGCGTTTAGTGCCTGTGCCTGAGCCTCAGCTCGGGAAAGCTGCCAGGATGATGCAAAAAGTTTAGAGGGGAAGCAGAAAAACAAACAGAAAGGAAACACAGCAAAGTACCGGCAGTTGTGAGGGGACAGACAGAGCTGCAGCACCACCGCGTTTCCCTCCCCATCTCCGGTACAAACCTCTCACCCCTTGGCCACCAGAGCTCTGCCCAGCACTGCTCTTCAATGCTCTCTTTATGACATTCTTACATTTAAAGAAAGCTGACACCACGGAAGCCCAACGCCGTAGCAGAAGTTCACCCAAATATTTTCATAAAGACAGCTTGTTTAGGGAAAGACTTGGCCAGACAAGGGCACAGCTTGCTGAGTGCTCTTGAGTTGCATTATCTGAGACGTGTTGCCACGTTTGGGACTGAGAGCAGATATTGCAAAATGTCTGTTGACTCCCTGGTAGCAGCACAGGGCTGGCACACTGGGTCAGGCTGTGCCAGTGCCCCAGGGGGATGAATTTTCTCTCCTGCAGGGTTGGGACGTCTTGCTTCACAGGCCATGCTGGTGCAAGCCCTCGCAAGGAGCCAGAAGCATCTCATGCAAGTGCCAGCACACCTCTGCTGTGCTGACATGTGCCAGGCCAGCACCTTTATCCCTGCAGGGACAGGCTCTGCCCTACAGCCTGCTCCTGTCTGAGTCAGAGCGAGATCCTGCTGCCTCCCCGGGGCTGCACAGAGGGGGCAGGAAAACACAGCCCTGGGATGCTCCTGGCCAGGGCCAGCGGGTCTGTCAGGGCCACTGAGGCTATCAGGGCCAGGGGGGCTGTCAGGGCCAGGGGGGCTATCAGGGGCATGGGGCTGTCAGGGCCAGGGGGGCTGTCAGGGCCCCCGACACTGAGAGCAGGAGGGGAGGGAGGGCAGGGAGGAGACGGCTGTTCCACAACAGCTTGGATTCGGGAGGGGACAGAACTGGAAGCTCCGTGCTCCCGCGTTTCTGGGGCAGGCACAAACAAAAACATCCTCGAGGGCAGATGTTTGGAAAGGAAGCAAAGCACGCAGCTCCACTTCTGCTAACTTACGCCAGACAAGGAAAGCAGCTGAGTGAGGCATGCAAAGAACAAAACCTATTCACCAAACACACTGCCCGAGTGAACAGCAATATACTCCCTGCTCACCTTACCCTCTCTCAAAATCAGCTATTTTCTGCTGATTTTTAAAAAGTGTTACTAGCTAAAAAATACATATAGGCTTTGAAGATGTCCTTTTAACTACTTCTTTTAAACTTCAGCATTTTCAGCTGAATTATTATTGTATTTACAGTTTTGTACAGAAATTCTTTGCATGATCTCAGTTTTTCTAATCTCAGCACAAATCTCTGGTGGGTCATCTTGTCCTACCACCTATTCCTGAATTCCATATAGCTGAACTCTACTGGGGCATATATGCTGTTAAAGCAGCAAGAAAAGTCTTGAAGATTGCAAAAAAATGCATTCTGATACCATGTGAGATGATTCAGTGGATTGAAATTCAGAAGTGAGCAATAGGGAGAATCTGGAGCACGTTTTGTGCTAAAGTGCTTCAGGTGTTGCTACACACCATCACAGAAAAACTCATACCAGCCAGTGCTATGTGACAAACACTTCCTAAATCAACATGATTCAAGTAGTCATTTTCACTAACCATACTGAGAATTATATTAAAAAGTGTTATCATTTTGAAATGTTTTTGAGGAAGATATGAGAGGCCAGTTTTGCCAATAGCTTAAGCAGATGCAGTTTCTGTGCACTTTTAAGTCAAGAGGGAATTTGATCCCTTTTTTCCACATGCAGGCTTTAAAACCCCAGTTGTGGCTTTTGTCCAGGATAAGGTCAAGGGAAAATACATGTTCTCTCTATGTCAGAGAATTTTTTAAGGTATTTGTATTGAGAAATTCTTCTGCTTAGTAGGAAGGAGTGACTTGAATTCAGTAGAAAGGTAAGAGGTTGGATGTACTTTTTGAAGTCCCTTAGAAAATCACTAGTACATTATGTTACAAACCCCTGGCAAATTCCATTTCCCATGGACAATAGAGTTTTATTGGGACTTACTCTGTAATTTCTCCAATGGCTCTTCACCCTCTCAATGTGCTCTGTGCAACTGTAGCAAAAAGGAACTACTCTCATAGGTCTGGATATGAAAGCTGTGTGCATGTTAAGATCCCCCTGTTCAAATGCTTGGGATCTGAAGGCAGGGTAGAAGCAGTGACCTGATGATAGAGAGCTGATAATGAAAGAGCAGTAATAAAGAATTATGTGAGAAAGAAGGAGAGTTGTAGTGCAGCAGGCAGGAGCAGAGACGAGCATGGGAAAAGAAAGGAGGAAAGAGGGAAATGAGCTGTCATCAAGATGACTCATCTAGAGTGCAGGAAATAGGGAAAACCTCATTTCTGGTCCTTATGGCATCTCGTACACTGTGTAGCACATTCTTAGCTCTTCCTCACCCCCAACCCTCTGAGTAGTAACACAGTTTAAAGAAGAAAGGTAAAATGCACTCCTGCCTTCTCCCATCTCACATAACACATGGATTAGCAGTAAAGATGGCCCCCTGGGAGTACTCAGCATAGGGATACCATTAGGTATTTCTCTATACATAATTACTAATTACCCAGTCCTGAGACAGATGCCAAGATGTTTTGCATTTGCACAGAAAGCCTCTGGGAACCTTGGAGTAAAATAATCAGCATTCAGTGGTGTTTGGGCATCCAGAGTTTAGGCAGAGTTTAGGCAGCTGCTTTTCAGCTTCCACATCTAGGGTCCATGTTAGAACTTTCCTGAAACTGCTCCAAACTTCCAAGTGTTTCTCTTTGCACTGCTAGCTGGTACTTCATTAACTCGGGTGTTTATATAACATTAATAGGAAACCATGTAATTTCAAGCTGAGTTTAATCAAGATAGGTATTATTAACACTGACATTATTTTGCTTCTATTTACAGTTTTGATAAGAGAAGAGGCAAGGCCTGCTGGACTGCTAAAAAGGCAAAATCTTTTCTACCATCAAAGTGCCACTTATGGCCCCTGTTAAATATATCATCTTTAGTTTTTTGCTCTGTAGGAAAATGAGCAAAACAAAGGGTTGGGAATTCTGATGAGTACATCCAAAGTCATAAGGGAACTGGAGAAAAGACAGCACCTCTGTTTTGCAGCCTTGGGAAACCTTATAGCCTCGAGGGACACAATCTTTGGTAGGATCCAACATTTTATCATAGAATCAGATGTTTAAATGAATCATTTTATCTGAATTGCTGCTAGCCATAAAAGTTGAAACAATAAAACATATAATAAATATATCTACATTGCAGGAATGACAGTAACACATATAAGCTAGATCCAGTTTTCATGGGCAACTGTAGCAGGAAGGACATAGTAGCCTTGGATGATAGAAAATCATTTAAGCATGCTAACATCAACATCTATCTTGGATTCTCTGCCATGGTTAACTGCATTTGATTTTTATATGGAAAGACAACTAAAAGCCTTCACCACAGGCATCTATTTTCTCCATATGGGGGGAAAGGTAAGCTCCTAACATGGACACATGTGATGTTAAAAGTGTATAACCACATAGTAAATTGCACTACAGATTTAAAAACAAACAAAGAAACAACAACAACAAAAACCAACAACAATAAAATTTAAAAGTAGGCAGGCCCAAAGTGCAGTATTTCTTGAAAGAGATTAGCTTACAGGAAAAGAAATCTAAGGTCAAGATGTGTGATTTATTGATGAATAGTTTGAGGCCAACAAAAATTGCAGAGATGAAAACATAAAGACATAAAATATGACACTGTCGAGTTCACTTTCTTAATTCATTTTGTTCTAGTACTTCTTTTTCCACAGGGAAGTTAGCAGTAAGTGGTTTTGTGGGTGGTTTAGAAAATTTAGAAATTATCTGACCACACAAACTCAGGTTTCAAATAATTTTCTCAAAGACACAGTGTTTTCCCTCATGATGCTTCTTTCCTTATACGAGGGATGCTTCTTTCTTTTTTAGATTGTAGTGTGGAGCTTAACATGGAGCAGGATCTGCAGCAGTGACCCTGACATATAAGGGCACTGGGAGAAGAAGGTGGGTTAAACACCTCTCTAGATCTGCCAGATTGCTCCATGAGCAGCACAAGGTGTCCCCCCTTGCACAGAGCACAGGTACTCAGGTGGTCATTGTGTTCTGTGTGTCCCTGGTCTAAAACCTTACACTGCCCACTTCTTGAATGGTGTGGACACTTCTGATTTCCCAGTCTCAAAAAGGTATAGGAGAACTGCAAAACAATCAAAGAAATGCTACCAATATGTTCCTAGCCATAGGGAATATCTCCTCTATCAGGAATAAAGACAGTTAAACAGACAAGCACAATTCAGCCTGAGAACAAAGAATATTGGTGGAGATCTGATAATTGTCCTACAGTCACCAGTGATGGAGAGGATGAACATGGAAATGCCTTCTTGAGCTATGAAACTCCTACTGCAGCTACAAGTTTACAGGGGTTTAGAAAGGCACTAGACAGGTCACTGGAATACCTCCAGAAGAAAAGGCCACCCATTTCAGAGTCCAGACTGTCCTCACAGCTATTTTGTGTATTTCAAGCACTCCAGAAAACCCTTTTCTATATAAGGCCACAAAAAGCCTTACAGGCATTATTAGTTCAACATGCAAGACAGAACTTTTCCAACTCTTTGTGTCTTCCAAAGCAAGCACAGCAGAATAGTGTCAAGATTACATCCTTTTGATAAACTGCAAGAATGGCAATGTGTGAACTGTAGGAGCTGCAGTAGGCATCCAAAGCAATTCAGAGAGCAGGAATTGACAAAAGCTGGAAGCATCTGGACTCTCTCCAGCTTCTAAACCCAAAGCTTGCAGCTGCAGGATCCAAATGCTTCAGTGGTGAATACCTCCCTCTGGAAAATCCCTGTTACATAAATGGAAAGTAGTACGTAGGTACACACAGAGGTACATACCAGCAGAGGAATGATGAGTTACTCACAAATGTATTTGAAATTCTTTCTCCTTACATTTTTTCCAGATACACAGAACAATAATTTCCCTCAGTATAAACCATTTGACAGCTTCTACTCTATGTTGCAGTGGTGTGCATGCAGCTGTTGTCTTTGAACATTGGGTGTTTCCTCAAGAGTCCTATTTTCTGTCTTGTTCTTAGCAAGTATCTCTGCTTATAAAGAATCCTGGAAAAAATCATATGAGAAAGTAAGCAGGTTCTATTTCTGTGTGCATTCTACAATACATTTTCATGCATTTAAACTAAATCAGGCCAGTTGATAAAATCATAGAGTGCTGATGAGAAGGATAACAGGATGTTATTTGAATATTATGGATAAAATTAATATCTGTAGAAAATGAAGGCATTTAAAAGTGTTCTTATACCTTAACTGAAATCCCAGGTAGTAGCAGAGAATAGCTGTAGTAACTATTCCTCTAACCCTGGTGCTGTTTTCTGAATGGTTGATTTTGATATCCACATAGACAAATGGGGCTCTATGATTATTGAAATAAGAATAAGCACACCCAGCAAGAGTTGACCACCCCCAAAAATGACAAATTGGAGTGCTTTTGTTTTTTAAAAAAATACATAATAATGGGTCCTTTGTTAAGCTTTTAATTAATGAGTTCTATTCATGAATCACCCAGGTGCTATGAAATTGCTCAAAGCTTGTCTGTTTGTTGAGTGTAAACCCATGGTGTTTAACCCTGGCACAAGCCATTTCTCTCCAAACCAGCCCAGTGTTTGCTTGAAAATCTCTACCAATGAAAACCTCCTCTCTCTCAGGGCTCCCTGAACAGCTGTGCACAGGAACAGGACACTGAGCTTCTACGGAAAGCTCCAGCTGAATGCTTTCTGCAAAACTAAGGCAGCTTTAAAAGGAAATTGGGAGGTCCCTGGAAGGGTGATTCCCACCAGCAACTCCTCTGAACACACAAACACGGCTTCAACACAATTCAGTCACTGCTCTCACCCCTCCAACAGCACTGGCAGTCCTGCCATGACCCCCAGCAAAAACCCAAGCAGCAAAACCAAAAGCCTCCTGCAGCAGAAAGCCAAGCAGCAAAATATAATTACAAATGATCATATGCATTTTAAGGGGAGCAAAAATATGAAATATAAGAAAAAGCATCTTGAAGATGAATGTTTCACAGTGATGGGAAAAAATTATTTCAATGTATGAAGCCCATGAATCATTTTGAGATCTTCAGTCAGATAGATAAAAGATTATTATTGTTGTTATTATTATTTCATGTAAATAATGATGACATTGCATTTGAAATAGCTTTGTAATTTCCTGTCTAATGCTACCCTTAGGTCTCTTCTATATTACCGCTTTTCAATTATCTTTTATTTTTCTTCTTGAATATATATGTTTTGAATTATTTTTTCATCTGATGTATCAGCCCACTCTTCAGATTGAATCTTATTTTTATATTTCCTGCCCATGTTTCTACAGTTAGGAGTTTATTGCTTTGTAAAGCTGAAAATAAATAAATAAATAACAAAAAAAATAAAATCATGTTCATGTCATATGTTTGTATTTATATCTAAAAACACATACTATGTGTTTTCATGCTACAAGCACTTTTTAAAACATCTTAGGGATATGCCCCAATTCACTATTGTGTGCATATCTGTGCATTCAGATCGGAAAGAAAACCAAAACATACCCAGATTTATAATCGTACATTGCTATCTAAAACCCCTTTGAATTGCAAGCAGTATTCATGCCAAAAGGAGGTGGGTAAAATCCAGCTCTGACAGGTTAAAGATGGAGGATTTCAAGGTCAGTGTTGCTCCAGGAAAATTCCCCAGCATTGCTGCTCACTCATCGCAAAATTAAATCACAATTGCAGAGCACAGCCATAAAGTTTAGAGGGATGAACCCGTACAAAAACCTGCAGGCAAGGGCAAGAAACCCCTCAAGAGGAAGGTCAGACCTCAGACCAGAATCCAGGCATGGAACAGGCAAGTGTCCTGGTAGCACCAGCTACCAAGGGGACCAGGGGGCTCCTCGGCCACCGCCTCTCTACATCATGGCAAGGCAAACCACCTTGTGTGACCACACAGCCTGACTGCTCTGAACCTGCACATCCAGCACACTGGAGATCTCACCTGATGAGCTTCCCTTAGCTGCAGGACAATTGCTGCATGGACAAAACAGGAACTTCTTCACACCTATATGCAGCACCTTCATTTAGACTTCAGTGAGGTTGTAGACAACCAAACCTGATTACAAATCTTACAGGGACTTCTCCACTGCTTGACACATTTGGCATTATCATTATGTTATCGTCAGCCTCGTGGTGTGACTCTTGGGACTGTCCTGAGCAAGGTCAAGAGTCGGACTCAATGATCCTTGTGGGTGTCTCTCAACTCAGAATATTCTGTGATTCTGTGACCCCGTGGTCCACCTCTTCAGTCATTTTGCAGGCTGAGCTACACTGTTCATCTCAGCAAAAATTTAAATTAATTTTTTAAAAAATCTTTTCCATTCAACTGGTAGTGACTGAGGGTACAGTTGTAACTTGAATGATTTTAATATTTCTGTTAGCAAAAAAGACAAACAAACAAAAAGAAAATAGTAAAGTCCTGAGGAATAAGAATTTTTCTGTTTTCTCTGCAGGGTTTGTTTTCATCTGGTTGTTCTTTAAAAACTTAAAACTAAAAATATGTATTATAATATTTACATGGCTTTAAAAATCTATAATTAACTTTTCTAAAAGGCATGCCATTGCAAGCAGATTGTAAATAGCATTTAAAAACAGAAATTTTATTAAAACAATTCAGAGGCTATTAAACTGGCTGTCACACTCTCCTGTCTGTGCAAGGTTGATGAGCTAAATAATGAATTGCCTTCCTGCCTGCTTCTCAGTCATTTTAAGTGAACTGAGGCTGGGATGGGCTGTTTGCCTTTCTCAGGTTTATTTTTGCTTTGTTTCCATCAATCCAACAATTTTTGTGTATTCTTTCATTTTCAAGGCCACAGGTTCCCTAAAGTACTAATGTACTAATTTAGTAGCAGCAGAAAGAAGTTCTAAAAATCCAGCTGGCTATTCTGGGAATCACTGCAGCAGTTTAATAAGCCTCAGTTTTCTCTTATTAATCTAAAATAAGACTTGGCACATAATGTTTGCCAGCTGTTGTACATTTACTGCCTTAAATACATTTTTTATTGTCAATGAAGCACTATGAAGAGCCCACTCATAGCCTTATTTGGATTAAACTTTACACCATGCCATATCAGATCTCTTTTTTTATTTTCATGTCTATTTGCTTTGTTCACTTACTTTTATTGGGCCCAGATATGAGCAGTGTTCTTTAATTAGTATAAGTCATTATATGCCTGGAAAAATCAGATTTAGTTCTTCTGTGGTGTGAGACATTTTAAAATATTTGCAAGTGAAAATTTTGACACAAGAGTGTCTCTCCATCCCAAAAGAATGGCAAATCATGTTTGTCATTAATTTCCATATCTCACAGTCTGTAAAGCCTGCAGCACACTGCAGTTCCAGGATTTCTAAGGTGGACATTATTTGGCCTTGCATGGAAAACTTGCAGCTGCATATCAGTCCCATTTTAGTCATAAACAACTCAACTGCTCAGCTTCATACCAGGCTAAATCCCCAGCCCTTTCAGTGAGCTTTTATAACCAGACTCTGCACACTTTCCTTGACGTCCCTCACTAAAGAACGACAGGTCCTCCATCAGTCTGCAGCAGATGCAGCAGCACAAGGAGAAGCTTCCTCCTCGCTTAAGGACTGGGCATCTGCCACTCCTGGGGCTGCAATGTCCTGTTCTGCACCCTCACCTGATGCCAATATCCTGCTTCTGCCAGGAGAATCAAGTCTTCAGACTTCCATCATGTCACTTGCCCTGATATTCATCTCCAATAATCTGCAGGAGGGGCTCAGGTGTCTCTGTCCCTCCTGTGTCCCCTGGGAATGGCTCCTTCCCCACCCCCCTGGAGCTGCCTAGCTCCCACTAGCACTGCACAAAGGGAGCCCAGCATCTGTTTGCCCCACTTCTGCCAGTGGCAAAGCTGCTGCATTCATGTCCTTCATCAAGTTTTTTAGAAATGTCTGTGACAGTAAACCCTTAGCACTCAGTAACTGGGAAGACTGGGAGCAGACACTGTGCAGCAGCAGGAAGAGCCTGAGGTTGGAATGTTTGTAGACTTATAAACACAACAGTCCCACAAGAATGGAAGTACCAAGGCCGACCAAAACTGCAAGTTTTGAGATTCCAGGTCTAACACTCTAAATGAGTCTCTCTCCATTAGTGATGACATGAGAAGAGAAAAAAATGCGTTTTTTTAGCTCAGTTCAGATCCCAAACCATCACACCTGCTCACGGAGCAAAAGCCTCAAGGGAAGTACAGAATTCAGAGAGCATTATCCAATGTATCTGTGCCCACAAAAATAACCCTCAACCAAAACAAAGAAGAAAGCAACTGAAAGGGCGCTTGGCAAACTTCACTGTACCATATTCTTCATTTTCAATCTAGGGGCTTTTAAGTTTATAGACAAGATTGTTTCATGTTAATGTAAATATGTGGATGAAAGTAGTTACCCTCTCCAAGTCCCTGATGATATTCACTCACAGTGAAAGATCACTGAAAATGTAAGAACATTGTGCCTTTTTCAGAAAGGCTGCAAAGTGTAACACGTTGTTAATGAGAGTCAGACAAGTCTTGTTGTCTTGTGGTTGTCAGAGAAACTGGACTATGGACTAACCATATTCATTCCATACAGCTACTGTTGGTCTCAGAGCACAGCAGGAAGAATATCTGTGAGCTGCTGTAGCAGTGTGGCCTGAAAATAAAGCCAAGATGACCTGGTAAAAGACAGGGTCCTCCTCATTCCCTTGACCAAAATCCTAAAGTGGCTTGTCGTTGGCCTTGTGGTGACAGTCACAGGGGAAATTCTCAGTTGCCAGCCATCTGAGGGCATCACGATATAGGAAAATTACTTTTCACAAAATATCATTTCTGGTTCACTGTTCCAGATCTTCCCAAGATATAAATGATCTCTCTTGAGAATAAGGAATCATAAACTCTCATGTTCTTCTATATGAAGAATTGTTAGCAGCCCTGCTCAGCCCCCAAGCAGCTCTTTTACTAACCCCCTTGCCACGGGTCCCATGATATCTGAGAAGGCTGATGAGGAGGTGGGTGGGAAGTCCACATGTCAGCCCACCAGTCTTGATGTTACTGTTAGTGCCAAATCTTATTTCCTTGAAGTTTCCTTTAGAAAGTTCAAATGGGAGGCTGCAGAATCTGAAAAATTTCTAAATTACAATTTTCTGAATCAAGGCATGGAAAAGCACTGACCTTTAGAATTGCTTGTTCTTGGATGTGCCTTCCTCTTCCATTTGTGAGTGGTCCATTTGGGTATGTGAGAGACCCATGGGAGATACATATGTTAAGACAAGAGCCTTTAGAAGGCAAGCTGTGAGAGTGATGGATATGACTGATGAAGTGTCATGTGTGAAAACCAAGCGGTTCTTTAAAATTGGCTCTTTCTAACACCAGATATTATCTAAATGTAAAAAATGTAGAACAGAATATTTATCTTGTTGTTAAAGGCTGTTAGAGAGACAGGACTTTAAAAGTCCACCAGTATCTTCTTCTCAAAATGTTCCAGACTGGGATCCAAGCCTAATGGCTCGATCTGATTCTGCATTGTGTAAACACTTCAAACTGATTAAAACTGAGGAACAGTAATCTAGGACAGTTTAGGCAGCCTGTAAACTATTTGTCAGATAGTTCATCCTTTATAAGCTGCTAAAATATTCCCTGACACAGTCTTAGGTTATTCCCTTTCCTTTTCCCTTAAGTAGCAATAACAGAATTCCAACAGCAATTCATAGTCACAGAATCAAAGAATGATTTGGATTGGAAAAGACCTTTAAGACTTTTTAGTAAAGAGGATTGTAGAAACTGGTGCTAAACAGTGTGGGGCAATAGAGGGTGATATCTGTCAGCTGTGCATGGCAGCATGGCCACATCAGTGCCCCCAGCTCAGGTGGAACTGTACAGTCACCCGGGTATGCTGAAAACACTGGGGTGTAGCCACTTGAGTTCCTGTTTCCTGTTTAAGAAGAAAGAAGTGTTGAAGTAAAGTGAGGGTAAAATAGCAAATTATATTTGCCAGATTAGAAGAATTTCCTTAGTGAACACAATTGTCTATAACCAACAATTTCGGTGACTTGATGAAAAATATAATACAGTATTCAAGAGCATCTGCTGTATGTTCTGCCTCTCCTTGTGGTGTATTTTTTCAGAAATGCATGTTTAAAGATGGACAACTTGAGATATATAATAGCATTCCCTTGGCTGCTTAGTTGTGCTTGACACATGCAGTGTGCTATATGTAAATGCACACAAAACCATCACATAAGGTTCTTCACCATCTGTAGTCTGGCTCTATTTTTTTTCATGCTTCCTCAGTACTGAGAAAGAAAATGGAAAATCTTTGGTCTGCTCCATTTTTTTGCTCCATACAGTGACATATGCCAGTCATTGTAGAGCATACCAGTGGAACTGGCTCAAATGATTGAGTGATTTTTGTTACAAAAACTAAGATAAAGCCTTCTAATTTTTCTTTTATTTTCCAGTTCAATAATAAAACTAGATAGGCTTCTTGTGGTTTTGGCGAGAAAATGAAGCACAAAACCTTCCATTTACTTCCAACTTATTTTGTGACTAATGGTCTTGAAGCCCCAGACTGCTATGAAGCTTGGATAGGAAAGGAAGGCTTTTTATTCATCCACATGGAATTCAGTCCTAAGGATTATTCATGATTTATAGTGCACCCCAAAGAAATGAGAGCTTCAGTTGGAGCAGTACCTTTACTTACTGCTGTCACTAAACCAGTGTATTACTTTTGCCCATGTTGATAAAAGGAGTTAAAGCAAAACCTGAATGTGCCTTCAGTCCCTAGTTGCCCCTATAGCACCCTGGAAAATGCCTGGGAAAGCAGCTTGGAGAGGCAGCCTGCTGCCAGAGCTCAGTTGTCTTGGGAAGGCTTTCTCCAAACCCTCCCTCTGCTTATCTCAACTGCATCTCTCCTGTGCCAGAACCACTCTCAGCCAACCAGCCAGCAAGGGACAGTCTCAGGAGAAGCATTTCAGAATTATTAAGAGTGCAAGGAAACCAAAATAATGCAGGCAACTTTCTGCAAGCTTTAAATGCAAAAAACGTATGTTAGACCTGGTCTGGTGCTAGAGATATTTCACCTGCAATACTGCCTCCAGCTCTGGGGCCCTCAACACAAGGACATGGACCTGTTGGAACAAGCTCAGGGGAGGGACACAAAGATGATCAAATGTCTCTAGGATAGGAACTCCTCTCCTATGAAGACGGGCTGAGAGAGTTGGAGTTGTTCATCCTTGAGCAGAGAAGGCTTCAGTGAGACCTCAGAGTGGACTGTCAGTCCCTAAATAGATCCTGCAAGAGAGCTAGAGAGGGACTTTCTGCAAGGGCATGCAGAGATAGGACAGGGGAGAATGGCTTAAAGCTGAAAGAGGGGAGGTCTAGATTAGATATTGAGAATAAATTATTATTGAGAGGGTGGTGAGACACTGGAACAGTTTGCCCAGAGAAGTTGTGGATGACCCATCCCTGCAATGTTCAAGGCCAGGCTAGATGGGGCTCTGAGCAGCCTCATCCAGTGGAAGGTGCCCTGCCCATGGCAGAGGGGAGCTAGATGATCTGTAAGGTCCCTTTCAACCCAAGCTGTTCTATTATTCTTTTATTCCACAATTCCATGTGTGTATGATTCGGTGATTCTCTGAGCAAGGCATGTAACCCCCTGTGCTTTCAGATAGATGTTTCTATCTCTGATAATACTGCTTGGGAACTTCTATAACTCTATTTTTTGTATAACTAAAACAAAGTGAGAAACCAGTAATTCTGAGCTCTTTAAGAGAAAAGAAATAACCAAATCCCCCTCTGCTGCCGTTGGAGTGTTTATAAACAAGTGATTAAAGTGAAGAGTGGTGTCCAGGCACACTGCTCCTACAGATGGAGCCTCCAGACACTACTAATGGCAGAGATCGTGTTGCAAGCAGGTGCACACACATTTAACAAAAGCAAAACATTACCCTTGAGTAATACTGTACTTTGAAAAGAAATGTGCCACAAACACCATTAATTTTAAAGCAGGAAGGAATTCCACGTACTTCTCAAAATTGCAACAGAAGATCTGTGTTCATGGATACACATACACACAGATACACACACAAGTTATGAAATGCAGTTAATTCTGCTCTTACTCATTACTGGACTAAATAACACTGATATACCTGATCTACATTCAGAAAATTCTCCTCTATTATCTTAACTTTTTAAAATTCGCTTATTCAACTTAAAATGAAATGCAACATTTCCGCCTCCTCATTTGGCAGACATTTTGGATGAGCTGGTAGAGAGCAAAGAGTCATATACAATAGGTTTTTAAATTTCTTTTGTGAGAAAATGGTAGTTTTACAGCAATCAATGCTATAAATGGCAATAAGTCAAAATATTAAGATGTAAGGTGTGACCAGCACTCAGTACATTAAGACTCTCCACGGAGTTTATGTGTTTTACTTTAGTCTGCTTCATAGTAATGTTCATCACTAGCATTCTGCTATTGAATCTGGGACACTGACTCCTCCAGAAAAACTTCTGATTTACACTGCTATATAATGAAATCATATTATCTATTTTTTCAGCAGTTAATATGCATGATTATATACCTCTTTCTGATAAAGGTTTACTACTTCTGAAAGCTTGTTGTGAAATCTGGCAGCTACCAGCCATTCTTCGGCTGAGAAATTTCTCCCTTCTCTGCTCCAAATAATTTGTCTGATACTATTCCTCCTGATTCCTTTAAAATTTATATTCATTGATGGCAAAAATACCTGAAAGGACCTTTCCAAGAAGTTGATCAAGAGAAAACACATAAATCTGCTGTGGTACACAGAGGGAAGTAGCTGGAGATATGCAGCAGCTGTGTGTTCTACATGGGCTCTGCAGAGCCACTGGAAGAGTGAGCTGCTATTGACATTTTTGCAGTGGAGTCTCTGAAGTCTCCTTTCTAAATGGTTTTGCTAGTCACTGATGCTAAGGAAAGTAAGTTAAAATCCAGCACTTACACACAGCATCTCTCTAACCAAAGAGAGATTTTAAAGCTATGGACTAAACAGAGAGCCTCCCCTCTGGAAAGTAATATCTTACTGGAACAAACAGTTGTAACATCTTATTCTTTCTACTTTAATAAGGCAAACCCCTTAATTAAAATCCCAAAGAGTTTAGGGAATATCTTACTATTACATTTTACTGTGAAGTAGGAAGGAAGTAAATTCAGCAGCAGAATCTGTGGGCAATATTCTCAAACAAGTACTTTGAAGCAAAAAGCATATGACTCACCTCCTGCTGCAAAACTTGTCCTTCCCCCCTGGGACACCACCACTGATGTTGTTACAGCTGCATCCGTGTGGCATTTTCTGGACCATTGCTTTACTCCTGATAGAATAGATCTGCTGCATTTGTGGTCAGGCTGAAGTGCATGCAACTGAAAATGTGAGAGCAACAGAGAGGAGTCTTTGCAAACTGTGTCACCCAGCCTGGGGCACCAGGAGGAATCCAGCCAGAGAACTTGGAAAGGCCTCATTGATGTGTCTGGGCTGACTGTGCAAGTGCAGGAAGACTTCTCTCCAGGAGGAGGCTCCTAGCTCTTTTTGTCTTAAAACAGATTTTACCTACACACTCATTTTCTATCAATCTTACCAGGCTCAACAGAATTTTTACCAGCATCTCATGAAGAGATGCTTAAACTACCACATTTACTGCAGATAGAGAGGAAAAAGCAGAAATGTTTGGAGCTGTGTTGGAAAGCTGAGAATTAGCAAACTCTCTTGACTTAAACAATAGAAGGGAAGAAAGAAATTCACCTTTATGAGACTTGAAATGTTAGTGGAAATTGAAAATTAGTGGAAATACTGACGATTTTTGACAACAATAAAAATTGATTTTTTAATATCCTTTTTCACTTTTTTCTTGGGGATACTAACTGAAATATGGATTTCCTGAAATTGAAAAGAATAGGCAGAAGTAAGAATCATGGTATTATAGAATGGTTTGGGATGGGAAGGGCATTAAAGATAATTGGGTTCCAAACTACTTGCCATTAGCAGGGATGCCATTTACTAGATCAGATAGCTCAGGATCCCATCCAAACTGGCCTTGAACATTTCCAGGGATGGGGCATCCAAAACTTCTCTGGTTAACCTGTTTCTGTCTCACCACCCTCTGAGTAAAGAATTTCCTCCTTACCTCTAACCTAAACCTGCCCTTTTTTAGTTTTAAACCACTGTTCCTTGTCCTGTCACTGCCTGCCCATATAAAAACTCTCTCACCCTCCTTCTTATAAGCCCCTGTGAGATACTGGAAAGCCACGTGGGTCTCCCTGAAGCCTTTGCTTATCCAGGCTGAACAACTCCAGCTCTTCATAGGGGAGGTGCTCCAGCCCCCGGATCATCTTCGTGTCCTTCCTCTGTTTTCTAAAGTAATTAGTGCATATTGTCTTTCCACCTCTAAAGTTACAGGCCTTCAAGTAGGACAAATGATCAGCCATTTCAGTTGGATTTGGATCCAGATAACCTATCATAGAGCATGAGAAAAAGCTGCATTTAGTAGACGTTCTGTCTTACACACGACTGCATTGATTCTACATTCTACAGACGGTAGATCTAACTAAAAATGTCTGTCCTGTGAGAGCAATTGCCAATGCAGGAATACAGATGGGACAATCTGAAGACAGGCAAGATTTCTTCATTCTCACACAACATTTCTGTGTGGGTGATCTGGCCAATGACACTGAGTGCTCGCTCTGCAAATCTGGGGCAGAAGACGCCCAAGTGACCAGGTACACCTTCCTTGTGTTTGGGGCAGAGCTACTGCTCAGCCACAAAACGAGTGACAAAGTGTCATTTCAGATCACTTACTGAGAGTACCAAACCAAAGCAGAAATGATGACCAAAGAAAGGATTTAGGAACAGTTTAAACATAGTCCAAATATCCAGATAAGAACATTTAACAAACAGAACATTTAACAAACTGTTGTTACTTGAGACCTTAAAGCAACCTTTAATCTCACAGGAAAAAAAAAAAAAGATAAAAATATATTTCCATTATTAGCAGGCATGAGCAGCATACTAACCAAGAAGTCAGAACTACATCAAAATTGCCAACTGCCACAAACTTTATTTGGCTCCTGAAGCAATTCTACTGACATCATCATAAGCCAACAGCTACTCCAAGGACCTGAACTTCATTCCATGGCTTCTTTGAACAATTTAAAGTAGTAGAAGTCCCAAATATTTTGCAAGATTGCATCTAAACTGGCCTTCTGAAAAACAGACCGAGATCAGATTAACAATACTGCTGTTCAAGAAGTGCCAAGAGGAAGGTTTCCAGCTAGGGTACAAGAATTTCAAACCATACCTCTGGGTTTTGTAAGGGCATGTTAATTGTTACCATGGGGCTGGATTCCTCACCTTCAGGGTTTGCTTGCTGGCCACTTCAGATTAAAGTAAATTTTGGCCAAAGTCCTGAATTTGCCTCCTCTTACAACTGTGATTCAAAAGGAAAGTAGATAAAACCTGCTAGATTTATCTAGTCTTTGTTCATTAATATACTGGACAACAGTTACTAATGTTTTTAAATATATACCTTCTGTGAAATGTTGCCAAAACAAACCTATACTGCACACAAAGGCAGGTAAATGACCACATTTTGTCTCTCTGATAATCAAATTAGGAAGGATGTTTAAACAGTAAGTGTACGTAGAACAAATTTAAATTACAGTGTCAGTAACACATAAGAAACTTTTGTTAGATTTGCAATTTTTTATTTGACCCCTTATTTTCCTCAGCCAGAGGGATACTGCTTCAGGTTATCTGTTAGTTAAGATATTATAAACCAAATAAATGATAGATGAATGACATATAATTAACCTGGGAAAAAAATAAGGATTATGTATTTGGGGTTTTGTTTGGTTTTGATACTGCTTCCAAGTGATGATTACTTACACAAATTTATGGAACTCAGGTGACATTGACTGAATGACTGGAAAGATGTTACACTCCTCCTGCATAACATGCAAAGTCCCCTGCAGGGAACTGGAAAACTTCAATCTACACATTTATAGGAGCCACTTCTTATTCATTATAAAGATGATAAGATTTTTCCTGATTGCATATTGCATTAAACAAAAGTTGACAATTTTATATGATGTCAAATATGATAAGAGGCAACTATAGAAAAAAAAATGGCAGAAGGAAATTTCAAAGATGGGTACAAAATATCTACACGAGCACTAAAATCCCAGGCAGAGGTTTGGTGGTGTTACTTCATGTTCTGTCTCTTATGTGGGGAAGGAGTTGCTGGTGGTGCAGATTGCTGCCAGGAGCCACACAGCTTCATGGAGCCTGCTGCTTATTTCCTTGTAGATTAGAATTCCCCTGCCATTTTTCAGTTTTGGTTTTAAGCTGAATTTCCAGTCTTCTCTGCAGTCTCTGCATTGCTCAAGGTCAGGCCACACTCTGCTAAAAGAACAAAAAATGTGTAATGGCTATACTTTACTACAGATGAAATGCTGTCACCAAACCCCTTGTGTTGGAAAAGGTTCCAGGCCAATGAGACAAAGAGAAACTCAAGTAAAATAAACCCAGTAAACAGAAACTTGTGGGAGGAGATATGGAACAATCAACTACAAAACAGAGGGACTTAGAATGGTAAAACCACAGTTGCTGCTGTCCTTGCAGGGGAACATCACAGTGGCTAGGCCCTCTCAGTAGCCACATCAAAAAGTAGAAAAAAGATTTAAAAAAAAAACAGGAAAAGGAAAATATAATGATAAATAGGGGTGAGGAACCCAGGAGAAGAGTAGCTTGAGACTGTAAATAGAATTACCTATGGAGAGAGCTCAGAAGCATAAATATTTAAAAGGCACTGGGAATTGCAGTTGGGCTTTTTTGTGTAAGAGTTAGCATCTTAATAAAGCTATAAACTTCACAGCAGCTCTGTAATGCTCATGTTCTGCTTATCACCTTCGTTCTGCAGTGTTTGCTCATGTCAGTGATCCTGAGTGCAGTACATGAAAGCTTCACTCATCTCTGCTCTGCCATTAAGCTTCAAAGAGTTGGCTCTGGGTACAATTTAAAACCACTTTCTGTAGTAAAGCACTGTTATTACCTCAAGCAAAGGGAATGAAAATCCAGAAAGAAAAAAAAAGAAAATTTAAAAAAATAAGGAAACCCTTCCATAATATGGGCTTAGAATCAGCAGGTTAATTTTCTCTTGCATGGATGTTTTTTTTCCAAAAAATACTTTAGGGATGTTGATGTTTTTACTCAGCTTTTCATTTAGAATGACTCATAGCTGTGGCTTCCTATAACAGAAGGGATTCCTATTTGGCCTCCCTACAAGCCACCTCCTTTCCATTTACATATAAATCAGATGCAGGAAGAGATTAGCAGCTTCATTCCAGTAAACGGGAACAATCCAGGTCCTTTGACATTCACATTTAGAAGGTTTGTACGAAATTATGATCTGTATAAAA